CTTTAGCTTGAACCCGGGCAAATCAATAGAATTGTGTACTGAGGTATTTCTGTGGGGCAAAAAACTTTGTTTCAGGCCACCTTCATGCATGCGCGCGCACGCGTGCACACACGCCAGCTCGAGCCTTACTGTGCACGTCATTTTGAGCTTGGACTTCATCCTATGTTCTTTCTGCAGATTCTGCGGCCTCTGTCGCCTCTCTTTGCTGATCCTGGCCAACCTCGTCCACAGCGCCTGCTGCGAGCGGCTCGCCTTTGAGCGGCCAAGCCACAGACATGCTGTACATGACAGAGCTGCTGGATGTCATGAGAAACAGCCCTGTCTTCGGCCCCCCTCCCGCAGGGGGATGCCCAGAAACCGCCTCTGACAGAAACGCAGGGGCTCGGCCGCCGTTGACTTACTTCCAGTGCTTGGCGGTAATCGGGCCTCACCAAGCTGTGAGCCAAATCGAGTCTCTCTGCCAAAACTGGCTGCGGCCCGAGGTGCACACCAAGGAGCAGATGCTGCAGCTGCTGGTGCTGGAGCAGTTCCTGGGGGTGCTCCCTGAGAAGCTCCAGATGTGGGTGAGGCAGAAACAGCCCAAGGATGGCCACGAGGCTGGGACCCTCGTGGCAAACTTGGTCCAAGCATGTGAGAAGAAAGGTAAGGGAGGAGGTGTATGCTCACCAGTTACGTGCTTGGCATAGAGGTCAACCACAAATACAAAGCCACCGCCCGTCGTGAGTAGTCAATTCCGACTCTTACCCATCCCCCAGGACAGAGTGAGGCTGCCCCATCGGGTTTCTGGGACTCACCCCGTACAGAAGCAAGCCGCCACCTTCTCCTCCCACAGAGCAGCTGGTGGGATTGATCTGCTGACCTTCCCATTCATTCGCAGCCCAAGGGTTAGCCCACGGCGCACCAGGGATCCTCCGGCATGGAAGAAGAGCAAAGGAAAAACTTGCTGAATGAATGAGGGAATGATTGGATGTTATACATCCAGTCACAGCAACGTCATTGGAAGACATTCCCAGTTTGTCCAATAAGAGGCTCGTGAGTGTCCAGTGAGTGTGAGTCCAAGCCTGTTGCCCTGGCACCCACTTCTACCATACAGAGCCCATGTACAGGATACTCCGTGAGGCTGCCTGTGTCCGTACAGATTCACGGCCGCCGAGACCCTCAGGAGCCATTCTACTCTGGCCTGTAGGGTCACTAAGAGTCAAGAGTCCAGGCAACCACAGTGGGTTCCGTTTGAGGGTGAATCCTCTGAGGGGCTCATCAACAGGCCGT